ATCCCATCTTAATTTYCACYTGAATCCAACAGAGCTATAGAATGATTCAGTATGAAAACTTTACTGAATTAGGAAACAACAAAAGGCTTGTGAACGATGTCTGATTTGGACTAAAGTGCCCAGTTTCAGTTGCAAAGGAAAGGAAATTTTGTTCTCAGGGTGTGGAGTGAGGGCAGTTACTGCAGCCATAACCACTGTGCTGGAAATGCTGAATTTGTGGTGTCTGTGCYCATTTCCAGGCTTTTTCCCTGTAAAAAAAAGCTGATTCTGAAGGTGGGAGAAGGCTGAGCAGCCTCACCCCCCTCACACACTTCATTTCAGGAAATGTCCCGTTCTCAGACAAACACAATGTGTTCTGTTTAGAATGCAGATATTAATAAATAAATTAAGATTATACAGAAAACAGACCTATAACTGCCATTCACGCTCGGTGAGAAGCGCTCTGCCCTGCTCTGCTTTTCCCAAAGAAGAAATGCAGAGTTTGAGGATGGTGGCAGCTGCACCAAAGAGAATGATCAGCAAATTTCTTTGAAGATGTCGAAGCTTTGGGTGCCAGCCATTACTTTTAAGGTTTTTTTTTTTTTTTCCTAGAAAGGATGTACATATTTTAGGTTTAATAAATTGGCCTCTTGCATATTTTTATCATGGGATGGAAGGGGCTTTAAATCTCATTTCACCCCCTCCTTGGACAGGAACATATTTTGCTAGATCAGGGTGCTCASAGCTCCATCCAGCCTGGCCTTGGACACTTCCAGGAGTGGGGCAGGGGGATAGGGATGGGAATTTTAGACCTATATAATGGAATTTTATAGATTTTTAGATCTATATAATGAAATTTTATAGCTTTTTAGATCTATAGCATGAAATTTTATACCCCAGCACTTCCAGCTCAAATCACTCATGAGCTTCAGCTTCACATGGGAGTTTAAATGGAACTTTATAAGATCAATAAGATAATTTTTCTTTCACTATAAATGATAGAGATTCCATTATCTTAGCCATTTCTAGGTTAGTCCTCATAGCTAAAAAAATACTTTTTGGGTCCTGCCAGTGAGAAGTTAATGATAAAGTGGTTGGAGGATGTTTGAAGGGATGTTTTTAGAGGGGTGAGGGATGATTACCCAAGTGTCTGGAGCAGAATCCCATCAATTGGATGGTAAAAGGCATTTCTGGTGTGTAGGACAGGAATTTTAAATTTGGGTAGCAAAAGCTGTAAAATCTTTAAAATATTTAGATAAAAACATAACTTTTTTTTTTCTTTTAAGTAAATCTTCATCACTAGTATGAGGTACCCTTAGCTAAAAGGAGACAATGCACAGACTATAATAGAAATTCTCCTTGAGGATGAATTGAGTCAAAAAACTCAACTTCTGTGCTGCAACATCTCCTTTTTMTAGGAAGCCTTTCCATTTCTGAGTTGTCATCCATAAATTCCATCCCATTGTGGATCTTTTTAGCATAATTACTCCAATAAAGGTGAAATCTGGGTTGGGCTCAGTGTAAAAATGTGGTGGATTTGCTCTGCTAAGAGTTTTCAGTARGGGAAGAGAAATGCAGATGTGTCCTGGTGTGAGTGTGGTATGGGGTGACAGCACAGAAAATCAGGGAAATTTTGTCCTGAAAACAGAACAGGGATGTACGGAGTTGAAATGTGTTTGGAGGAAAGCAAAACCTGATTTAAATGATCCAACACCTGCCTGTGTGGTGAAAACCATGAATAAGTTGTGGTATCTGCACTCACCTGAGCTCCCAAAGARCAAAAAGCTGAGTTATTATGCCTTGGAAATGATTTTACAGAGCTCATCCCCCCCTGCTTGCTCAAAGGAGGGGGTGCTGGCTTTTTCCAGGTGAAAAAAAAAATCAGGCAACAAAATAGGAAAGGACCATGAATCTTAAATGCTTCTCTCAGTCTCCTTTTATAGGCAGATGGACCCTTGGAAAAAAAAAAAAATAGCTGTAAGTTGGCAGCAGAGAGCCAGGCTGCGAAACAGAAAGCTTGTGTGGGTTTGGGAATCTGCGTAATTCTGTCTCCAGGCTCAGTCAGGGAAGCGAGGGGACAGATGCCAGCAACATTTTATCCTAGAAAGGCAAAAAAGAGAACCCAAAAAAGCGTGTGGGATGTTGTGGATTTTTTTTTTTTTTCCCCCTTTCCCTTTTGAACTGCGTGATGTAGAAATGAGGAGTGCAGAGCCCGGGAAGGGCTCCCCTTCCAACTGAGCAAAGTGACACAGGCAGATGTTGGTGTGGTTTAGAAATGGCAGATTTTTTTTTTTTTAATTATATTTTGGAAATGATATTTTGGAAATGATATTTTGGAAATGATATTTTGAAAATTTTCCTGCTCTGCCAATAACCCAAGTGGGGTTTTTTCCAAGCATAACAAACCCAAGGGGTGCTGCTGTGCAAGAGCTGCTGGTGACAGCTCTGGGCTATAAAGGACAATGGTTTCATAAATCAGGAGAAATCATTGGGGAAGGAAGTGAAAAGATCTTGGTGATGACATTGAGAAAAAAATGCAGAAGTCAGTTGACAATTGACAACATTTATTTGTGATAAACCTTGGTTTGTGGGGCAAAATTGAAATTACAAGTAGTTGAGGCGCAGTGATGCAGACACAGAAAAAATTTGAATATATTATCAATATTGATATATTGATAATGGAATATATTATCAACATGAAGTAGACTCTTGTAGGTAGAAAATTTGGTTTAATTTTTACTACTGCTTAATCACTTGGGAGATTTAAAAGCTTTGTTTGCTTGAACACCTTGAGCACTCAGGTGCACATCTGGGCAGTAGAATTGCCAAAAAAATAGGCAGGAAATTGTTGGTGTTTTGTTACAAAAATATTGGGGCTGTTTTCTGAAAACAAATYTGTTTGTGTCACCTTTTCAGCGAGGAAATCAGCCCAGGTGACCTCCTGCATACCGCTACAAATTATGGGAATTTCTTTTTCTCAGAATTGTGTTATCTCAGGAAATTACAGCTCTTATTTTTACTGTTATATTGTAAAAATATATATACTTAGATGGCTGAAAATACAGCTGTGTTGAAGTCAGGCAGAGATGCATCYACTTCCAAGCTTTCCTGATTCAAACCTTTCCTGGAATTCCTAATTTACCCCTAAAATTTTGCCTTCAGAGGGAGTTTGGCTTYACTCAAGCTTTACTTACAGATTTCCGTGCCAGTCAAAGCTGGAATGCTCCTAATGGAAGTGCACATCCCAAAAAGCTGGGAAATCAGTGGGATTAGAGAATCCTGCCTGGAAAGGGGCTCCAGGATGTAAAATCAGAGCCTGGAGGTTACAGCACCAACATAAAAATAGCTCAGAGCAGCATCACAGATTCCTTTCACACCGTGTGAAGCTCTGACAGGCACAAAGGCTGTGTTTTTTTTCATTCCCGTTTATGAATCTCAGGATATTTTTATGGGATGTGCTTTTCTGTGGTTTCTTTTGACTTTCTCTTGGATTTTTTGCTTTTTTTTTAGAGTTTCGGGTGCACAAAGCCATGTTCCAGGTGGGGTTTTGTGCAGGTGGCACCTGAAACTCCACCAAGTCACCTTTGAAGAGTGAGGGGCTGAAGGGAATGTAGGACATCCTGCTCACAGGAACAGCTGGGGGTTCTCAGCATTCAGGGATCCAAAAATAGGAAAAATTACCCAAGAAAAATTGCTTTTCTGAGGGTATTTTAAAGCTGTGGTGACAGTGACAGATCTCTGAAAAGCAGCTGCATGATGGGGATCACGCTGTCACCGTAGGAAACTCATCAGTGGTCACTGATCTTTAGATTTGCAAACAGAATTTTTGCAAATTTTGGAATTTTTGGAATTTAAAAAATGCAGTTATTGTTTAACTTGTGCTGCTCCAAACCATGACTTCTCTTCAAGTAAAGATACTTAACTCAAGCCACTTCAGATACACACAGAACGGAATTTTACACATGTTGGACAGAAATAAGAGAATCAAACCACGGCCAGAAAGATTCCAGAACTGCAAAGATGTTTTTGATTTGATCCTAACGTGTGAAGAAAGAGTCTATGATCAAGTAGTAGAAGGTAAGAAGCTTGAACTGATAAACCAAATTAACTTTGAGTGCTTTTTTTTCCCCTCCTCCCTCATGTCCTTCACAAATCTTGAAGATTTTTTTTTTTTTATTTCTGTCTCCCCCAACTGCTGGAACACCAGTGAGGATGAGAGTTTGCAGTGATTGATGCAGATTTATGCACCAGGCGASCTCTTGTCCCTGAAAGGTGCTGGCAGCTCCAGAATGTGTGTACAGCAAAGGGCTGGTTTAGGGAATTTATTAAATTTATGTTTGGTTTGGGAATGCTCATGGATCTCAAAAGCTCAGAATGGATCTCAAATGCTCAAATTGGATCTCAAATTGGATCTCAAATGCTCAAAATGGATCTCAAATTGGATCTCAATTGCTCAAAATGGTTCTCAATTGCTCAAAATGGATCTCAAAAGCTCAAATTGGATCTCAATTGCTAAAAATGGATCTCAAATTGGATCTCAAAAGCTCAAAATGGGTCTCAAATGTTCAAAATGGATCTCAAATTAGATCTCAAAGGCTCCAACTGGATATCAAATGCTCAAAATGGGTCTCAAATGTTCAAAATGGATTTCAAATTGGATCTTAAAGGCTCAAACTGGATCTCAAATGCTCAAAATGGGTCTCAAATGTTCAAAATGGATCTTAAATTGGATCTCAAAAGCTCAAACTGGCTATCAAATGCTCAAAATGGGTCTCGAATTGGATCTCAAAAGCTCAAACTGGCTATCAAATGCTCAAAATGGGTCTCAAATTGGATCTCAAAAGCTCAGAATGGGTCTCAAATTGGATCTCAAAAGCTCAAACTGGATCTCAAATCCTCCAAATGGGTCTCAAGAGCTTAACTGGTATGGAAAAACAAATCTGGAAAAACAAATCTGAGCTGTCTCCCTTCTGCAGCTCCCATCTCTGCCCTCCAGAAGGTTTCTTTTGGCCTCCCAAGCAGTTTATTCCCGTTAGAAACCTCCTGGACAGGTGGAGGAACACTCTGGGTGTGTTAAATTCTGCAAATGTGCTGCAGCTCTGCCCTTGAGCGCAGCAGGGATGTGCCAGAAGGGTCTCACTCTGCTGGGGATCCAATTCCAGTGAGCACAGCACAGAGGATTGATGTGAACTCCCTCAAAAATCTGGGATTTTAGCAGGAGCTCAGTTTATTGCTGAGCTGAGAGCTTTGTGTGTCTCTGGARTTTCTTGGTGCAGGATTTTGGGAGTTTTAGGAGTTCTCTCCACACTGAATTGGTGCCACCCACAGAACGAACTCGCCCTCTCCGTGGTCACATCACAGCAGCACAATTTGGCCTTTGCCTGTGATCTCAGGCCTCAAGTGAAAAATTTGAAATATTTTTTTGAGTTCTGAGAGCAGCTGCCCTGGTCCTCGAGGGGATCTCAGCAAGTCTGAGTTGAAAAGCACCTCTCACTCTGGTTTTTAGGTGTGAACACCAACCACTCACTGATTTTCCAATTGTGAATCTCTCTCCACAATGCCCTTCCCAGCTGGCCCAAATGGCTCTGGCTGTGAAAAYTGATATTTTAAAATAACTTTTCCAAAATGAAGGTGCAGAATGGAGGGAGGAGAGAGCGACTTGGGGGTTAAAAACTGGGCTTGGTAGGAAGGATTTGTTAGGGARGCACAACACGAATACATGGCTGCACTTGGAGAAAGATGTTTGATTTTTCCCCCTTTCACTATTAAGTGAAACATGTGAAAACAGAATTTTTCTATGTGACTTTTATTTTTTCACCCTTGTTATTAAGTAAAACATGTTAAAATAGATTTTTTAATGTGACTTTTATTTTTTCCTGCTTTCACACTTGTTATTAAGTGACACATGAAAACAGAATTTTTTAATGTGACTTATTTTTTCCCCCTTCACTTTTATTATGACTTTTATTTTTACCCCTTTCACCCTTGTTATTAAGTGAAAAATGTTGAAATAGAATTTTTTAATGTGACTATCAGTGCTTAGCTTGTCGGAGTTCATCTTGCAGTGGAACAGAGTGTTGGGTGTTTTTTTTATAAAATGGAGCAATTAAAACCCTCCAGGGGAGGAAGCCCAAAATCCTCCTTGACTTTTGAGACTCTTGATCTTTAAAGATTGTCAGAATAAGAGGAGCAGTAAATTCTCTTGAGCAGGGCAGATAAACTTCCATGACCCTGAACAATTTCATTTCCTAAATCCACCTGTTGTTTTTGAAACAAAAGGGATTATTAAGACAATATTAAAAAAAAAATTAAAAATTGATTTGGAAAACATGAATGTGACTACATCAATGAATTTTTAAAATCTTGTTAATCTGATCCTGTTCCACCCAAAGTTTTGCTGTTGTGTTTTGCTTTGAACAGATTTAAATTCCAGAGAGCAGGAGACGTGTCAGCCCGTGCACGTGATCAACGTGGACATCCAGGATAACCACGAGGAGGCCACGCTGGGTGCTTTCCTTATCTGTGAGCTCTGCCAGTGTGTAAGTGCACAGGGATCAGGGATTGTGTGTCCTGGGGGTGGTTTAGACCCAGCTTAGGGGCTGGGCTTTGCTTAGTGCTCCATCAAAACCCTCTATGTTGTGGTTCTTCCAGTAAAATCGCAGTCAAAACRTGAATTTCCACATTCTGCTTCTTTTTGGGCAGATGGATGAATTGAATKGAGCTGGTGGTTTCCAAAGTGAACTCCTTTCCAATTAGGTGGGATTTAAAAGTGAGAGTGGCATTTTTAATCTAAATATCCTTAGAAACATCCCGTGGATAGATTTAAACAGGTGGATTTTAAACTAAAACTAGAACAGTGAGTTTCCAAAGTGAACTCCATTTCAAACCAGGTGTAATTAGGTGGGGCTTAAACAGGAGAGGTACATTCTGAATCCAAAAATCCTAAAAAATATCCTTTACAGGTGGATTTTAAAGTAAAACTAGAACAGTGAGTTTCCAAAGTAAACTCCATTTCAAACCAGGTGTAATTAGGTGGGGTTTAAAAGTGAGAGTGACATTCTGAATCCAAAAATCCTCAAAAATATTCTGTACAGGTGGATTTTGCTGTACCACACCAGCTAGAAAATTAAAACAATGAGTTGTAATTAGGTAGGGTTTAAAAGTGAGAGTGGCATTCTGAATCCAAAAATCCTCAAAAATTATCCTATACAGGTGGATTTTAAACTAAAACTAAAACAATGAGTTTCCAAGGTGAATTCCATTTCAAAACAGTTGTAATTAGTTGTAATCTGAATCAAAATATCCTCAAAAATATCCTGTACAGGTTTATTTTACTGTACCACACTAAATTAAAAACTAAAATTAAATAAGATGCACTCAACRTGCTGAGAGCAGAGGAAGGAGCTGTGTCCTTTTCCAGTGCCCAGGTTTAGGAGTTCACTATCCCAGACTGGTTTTAAGTCCAGCCTGTGGGATATGTTCTGGTTTTAAGCCCTCTCCAGATCCCAAAAGCCTAAAAAGGGTTCCAGGACCTGAAATCCCAACCATCTTTGGATGTTCCTGGAGCTATTCCGGAGCATCCGTAATAATCTGGGGAGGGGGATGGTGCCTCCTCAACAAAATCCTCCTGAGGTGCCACTTGGGTGGGTTGGGATCTACAAATGAACCYAAAACAGAATTTCTGAGCCTTTGGAAATGCTGGGAATCTCAATAAAACGTGCTAAAGCAGCACTGGGTAGAGCCTGCTGAGTTGGATTTCCCAGCAAATCAAAATCCCGGAATTAGCGCGGTTTTATCCCGGGATTATCGCGCTTTTCTGAACAGCAGATCCTCGAAACCCCCTCGCTCAGTCTCGTTTCTCTTGTAGATACAGCACACAGAAGACATGGAAAATGAAATAGATGAGCTGTTACAGGAATTTGAAGAGAAAAGTGGAAGGACTTTTCTTCATACGGTCTGCTTTTATTAAAGCACATCTGTCTCTTAGGCCTTAACACAGATGAGGGAAGCATGTGTTTAAAGTTCTGATTATACTGTATTTTCCTGGAAAAT